GGTCTACATGGCAACATCTCTGGGGAAAGAAAAAATAAGGGTGCAGAGTCCACGCCGACGGAGTTCAGTTTGTGTGTGCCGACTGGCCCTGATGTGGAAGTTCAGCTGGGTTTGTCCTCTCAAGCAGCAGGAGAGGCTAGAATCAGTGCCTGCACTCAGTCAGCTGTTATAGATCTAGAGAGACCAGACTGAGCTATGCAACTTTCAATAGGCGATCGATTTAGGGGAAGGGATATCTTTTTTTTGGTGGTTATTTGCTGGTTTAAAACATACATTTCCGTGATGTGAGCCTCTCCCCATACTTAGAACAGGAGTCTTAAAAAATCATATTTCTAATCCAAAGTCTTCCCAGTGCTGAAGAAGGGGAATATCGAAGGAATGATTGATTTGGCTAAGTATCCTTTCACTCTACAGAAAATCACAGGTTTCTGGCACCTACATTTTAATATAAATATATGTAGTTTACAGATAAATAAAGTCAGATTTGGAGGCCTCACATTCTCAGAGGCTGAACTTTTATACTGATTTTTCTTCAAGCTAAGTTTGTAATTAACCAGTCTTTGTATTGTTAGAGCTCTTGACTGGATGTGTTGTGTAATGCAAATCATGTGAAACCTTAATGTTTGTCGATGATTCCGTTTAACTTTTCGCCAGTATATTGAATTAAATAAGTACCTTTCCAGGGCAAAAAAAACCCAGGAGAAACCCAGTGGGGGCTTGGGGTACTTTATGAAATGTCTACCGTTAGGACTGCAGTAAAGGCAGTAAAGTTTAGCCCAGAGTGAAATGTGTATGTCACGTTATGCTTGTGACTAATATACAGTGTCAAATAACAGGAAGAAATAATATGCGTGTTTGCCCATCACTCAAGCTTATATTCCATATTTGGAACTTGCTTCCGCAATGGGAAACCTACGGAATGCTCCTGCTGCTTTTCTCTTGATGACTTGAGTTCTTATTATTGTTGTTAAATTGTGATCTCAAAAGCAGAGGGCCTACTTCCAGGTTGTCAACAGGTTGCTGAAACGTGTCCCAGAACGGCGCCCCCAAGCCTGCCACATGGGGGTCGCGTCTTGGAAGAGGAATGCTAATTGAGGTGTGCGGAGAGCCTGCTTAGCACGCTGCTGCTCAGCAAAGATCTGCATGGCCCTTCAGTTTGTTCCTGTGGTTCTCTTGTGTAGCTCTGGCCTACATCTGATTACCATGACCTTTGTATCACCTACAGCATAAAGCTTCCTTTTGTGATTGGCTGGTAAGCGGCCAATGTCCTGCCCCTGCTTTGCCAATTTATTTAGCTAGCTAGATAAGATTTTCCCTGTCAAACATTTTTTAATATACCACAAAGAACATTGTTCTATTTCATGTCATCCCACTAAAATAAATGTAGCTGCATGAGTTACGCAAAGCCACAGAGCTTCTCATAAAATCAATTTAAGTTCTTATGTACCTGGACTCGTTGTGCAGAGCTGAATGCATTCTCTAATGGGGTGGGGGGGCAGGCACATGCTTAGGGTGTGCAAGCCTAGTCTTTAACATGCCTAGAATAATTCCCAGCTCAACAGAATGTTTGCGTGTAAATACATGTCAAACTACCGTAGGAAAACCTTGCCTCTCATGTGAACCGATTAGAAGGGTTGATTTAACCCTTTATCGGTTTCGGCATCTGTCAAAGTATTATTCTCATGTTAAAAACAGCAGAAATCAGGATGAAGCAGATTAATATGGTGGCCGGTGTTTAGCCAATGCAGACTCCACTGACAGCAAGGAGAACAAAATGTGTTGAATTATGGTGAATTATTAGTTAGAATGCATTTATAGGCAAAGATTTAAGTGACATGCATGATGGGTTTTTTTTTTATTTTTAAAAAAAGCTTTGTGACATCACTAATACACTAATTCAAAATTTAAAGTTTATTGAAAATTTAAAATGCTATTTCAGACTTTATATTATAATTATGATTCACTAGGTACCTTATTATTAATAATATTATTATTATTGGGGTGGGTGGGGGGGTGAGTGACTCAGCGGGCTAAGTCTCTGTCCCTTTCTGTGACTAAGTCAAGGCCCTTAACCCCAACTCCAGGGGTGTTACACAGCAGATGACCTGCACTGTGACCCTGGAAGCTATGGAGAGCCAGATGGGTCAGCAAAGGGAGGCATCTCAATGTACCAGTGCTTGTGCGGATGGCAAATAAAGCATATTCTTCTTCTTTTGTTTTGTTTGATATGTTGTAACTGTATGCGAGACTTAAGTAAACTAGTACAGGGAATTTCAGTTTGCTACGATTCCATTTTTAAATATGAAATATAACGTTACTTGAATTCAATCAGCTCCGGTTTCTTATGGGGTCTCAAAATCAGATTCTTTTATTTGCCAGGTACAAAAAGTACAAGTGATTTGCAACAAGAAACGATGAATAGAAGTAAAATAGGGATAGAAAAAACAATGAAGATGTGCCAAAAATAAACATGTAGATATATAAACTTTCTGGATTTTGTATGCATTAAATTCTACATCATACTGTGTATTTACTAGGTCATAATAATGTTGGGTTCCATATGCCTATACTTTGTATAAAACATGCATTTTTGTACTTCAAACCAGATGTGGTCCTTTTAAAATTAAAAATTTTAAAGTAAAATTCTATAAATTATTCAATAGAATTCACCCAGCAATTGGGGGATCCCATTTCCTTATTATTCTGTCTGATGAATGGTTTAACAAATGGCATTAGAATTATAGCGGTCTGGGTCACAGGCTGTGATTTACATGTCATCAAATTAGGATGAGGGGTTTTTACATAGCCAGTTTCAGTCCTTCACCGTCATTTCTCTTCCCATCCCAGCAGCAAACACTATGCATTAATTACTCTGAAATATTACCTGGTAGCATAGACACAAGTTATGCCCCCCCCCCCCCCGGTGTCCTGGTGATGTAAAAGCCCAGTTCTTGTTATAAGACCCCTGTCATTAGAGGAACTTTGCTAAACATAGCTGTAACCAGTATCTCCTTTTAGCATGAACCAACACTAAGGATAACTCTTCCCTGTGGAAAGTGAGATCACTCCTACTGTCCACAAGCTGTGTGAAAACCAGTATGAAAGGGTCAGGTAAGAACTGGTGCATTTTGATGGAGGTTCAAAAGTGAAGGAAAAAAAAAGAATCGGCACAGGCTGCTGCCATTAGCTACTGCCTTTAGCAGATATGCGTGTTATAAGGAGTGACGTAAAACACAAGTTTGAAGTTTTATGTCTTTTTTTTTTTTTTTGTTCAAGGCTATGACACTAGTCTTATGTAGATTTTTGGGTAAACTTGGAAGATTTTATTATGAGACATATTTTGTTTACATGTTGTGGAAATTATTGCCACAGCAAGAAATGTCATTTCAAAACGTTTTGTGTTTGGGATAATTAGCCAGTTTTTGAATTTTCACTGTATTCTGCTATATATTTCGTTATGCTTTATTTGTATTTTTAAACTATCTTGAATCATCGGTTTCTGTAAAGCTGCGTAGTTGTTTTTTAAATATAGTTGAGCGTTTCAGTGTCAGCGGGAAATGTCTATATTTGTTTATGAAATGCTGTGCAGGTTGAAAATGACTAGGTACTATTTTAAAATTTCAACTAGTTTAAAAAGCCTTGTTTATTCGTAGAGGTACGACTGTCTTGTGTCTGTTGTAATGTGTTTTGTGGGCATATAGAATATAACTTTGAAAATGATACGTGGATTTCTCTTTAGTTCTGGATTACAGGTGTTGACAGCAGGTTTTGGATTTAAATGTCAGATGATGGTGCAGAAATTGATTGGTTTTGGTTGAGGAGTTGCTAATAGGAGCAGCATGGCGTCAGCAGGAATCCTCTTTCAGTCCCTGAAGCGTCAGGCCATGAATCCTGAGTGAGAGTTTGCTTTGCTACCTGCAGAGTCACGCTCCCTTTAACCTCCTTTCAAGGCTGGAGACTCCAGCATTGTGCATAGTTCTCATTATGGAAGGTGGGAGTGGGTCTCCAAGGTTGGAGACCAAAGGCATCACCTCATTCGGCAGCCCTCCTATGTATACATTTTTATCCCTGTTTGCTCTTGTATGTGAAAATTATGTTTTTTGTTTTTTGTTTTGGTCAGAACTTCCTAAACACTTTTGCCCAGCAGATTCTGGATACATTCGTCGTTCATGGTCCAGAGTATTGGCTGCGTCGTGGTCTAGGTTTAGAACTGACATTTCTTTAGCGTGACTCATTTGCTAATCCAAAAATACTTTTATATAAATTGTTCATGGCCAAGACTTGCCAGCAAAGGAAGATATAAAAATATCATATAATAATAAATAGCTTCTAGAAAATGTAGCTAATAAGTTTGCTATTAAGTATTTCACTTTTGGGGTTTTAAAATGGAATGCTGCTTCTCCTGTATGTAAAGCTATTTGTTACGTGTGATAGTCAAACATCATTACTTTATTTGCAGTTTTTTTTTTCTTTCTTCAACTTAAATACTTTTTAAAATTCTTTTAAGAATTAAATAAATTGTTTTGCCAGGGTTTCCTGGGACATCAGTGCTCCCTCTATGGTTTCTTCAAATATAAACCTCATGAAGTTTACAGTCGCGCTGTGACCTCACACCTCTGGGGCTGGGGGTTTGAATCCCACACTTGCTTTGTATATGAGAAGTTGGCATGGATTTTGTCTGAGTTCTACAGTTTCTAACTACAGTTCAAGGACATGTTGTACCCTATGATCCTGCACTCAGTTATCAGTTGGAAAATAGATGGATGTACTTTACAATTATTTGCTTTTAAAAAAATTATGATGTCTCTGTCGCTTGTGAAGTAAACAAGTTAAAACTATAAATCTCATATTCAAGTAACAGATGTCTCCTCCCCCAGTAAAAGTAACATCAAACACCTTATTGCACTTGCTGAAAATGACCATCTGTCTCCACAGGGGTGTATAAACTAGCACTCGGTTGAACGCTGGATTAATCGATTACATTTTTTGCTTGTCATTAGGTGTCATTTCAGTCTGAAGCATGTGGGAAAGTCATTATCCATAAAGGAACGTGTTTCTGCAGAACTATCCTCAGTAAATATAACCCCAGTGCCAGGTACGATGTCTTTTGCATTCACAGCACATCTTCTGGATGGAGGTATCTGAAAACATGAAGGGATTGTTCCATATTTTGTCATTTCCTTGGAATTTGTAAGTGTGGGCGTGTTCTTATCTGGTCTGGACATGTCTGTGATTAGTTTTGTGTATCAGTGAACGTGACTGTATATTGCTTTTTATTAAAAGATTTAAAGAACAAAAGTCCTGAACAAGAGTTTGTACATTTTTTCCCAGGGGCAGTAAGGTCATAATACTTCAGCTAGAAATCTGAACGCTGCTGCAGTGTTACACCCAATTTTTTGTTTGAATAACTGAGCTGTAATTGTCTGAAGTAACTTGGCAGTGAGGATCAGAGAGCAGGGTCCGGCAGTAATTGTGACATCAGTCTGCCAGCCACAAGATTTGAACCAGGGATCCTCCAATCATGGAGACGGAGCCACTCCCATACACTGCATATTTATATATGGGACGGCGTGAGACCATTGCCCCGTCATTTATAATCCCCTCTGGTAAATGACAACAACTGTTGTCATCATTGTTTAATTTTATAATGGTTTTATTTACTTTGCAGTTGATACACACAGTCATTAACGAAATTGCCTTCTGTTGATGTGAGATGCTAAATGATATTTTATGGGACTGCCCTAGGTTGTAATGTCTTTGTCCAGAGAGGATCTGGGCTGCCTGTCTTTGTCGTGTTCATTTTAAATGAAAATTAGACAACATGTTGATGCTGACATCTTGAAATTGCTGTAATCTAACATAATAATAGCAAATACAGAAAGAAAATGAGAATCATACTTAAAGCTGCACAAAATGTGTTGACTTCCTTTTTCTAAAGTATTTCTGTGTAGCTTCCTTGACCCTTTGTCTAGGACATTGATGTTTGTGCTCTGTTATTTCAAAACCATTAATCCCAGACACAGAAAACCACACATGCCAAAACATTCTTCTTCTTCTTCATCATCATCATCATGCCGGATGTGCTCCATTGGTGTGTTTTTTGTTTTTAATCAAATATTACTGTTATTCTTATTTAAGTTAACAAGAACATGTGCATTCTCTAAAAAATTAGAAAATAAAACTACCTTTTTATTTACAGAATTTAAGAAAATAGTTACTGTTGAAGGACACAAGAAGTTAATCATTTTTGGCATTTTCATTCATTTCAGTTGTTGCACAGGTAGTTGTGGTAACTTGTATGTCAGGTGTTTTGCTATAACAGTCTTTGTTGTGTAATGTTTCCTAGATGATTTGTTTTTCTTAGCCATCAGTGTGATTTACACTGTGCTAGTAAATGGCCTGACCTGAAAAGTGCGTATGAAACGATGCCTTCAGGGAACACTAGGTAAAACGATTTGGTGCTGTTTCCCACTAATGACATCACTAATGATGAGATGTAAAAAGACAGGAGGCAGGACACTGGCAGGGGTAGAGGAGGATGGAAGGTGTGATGTAGTGAAAGACAAACAATTAAAATGGTGCAGTGTATCCTGATTGTCAACATTTGTAGAGGGATATGAACAACATACGTTATCCAGATACCCATTACACGTAGGCCTATGTATGGACACCATATATAAATTGTGTTTTGGTGTGATAACAGATGATTAACCTGTGTGTTTTTCTCCCCCTGTTCCCAATAGCTTGCAGGTTAAATAGTAGGTGGGGATCCAGACTTGATGCATGGCATTTGCATGACTGCTTGCTTTGCATGTCAACGTGGAAGTGACTTCAGTCAGCAGCACCCATGGCTAAAATGGCACACGTTAACGGCAATATGTCAGGTAATCTTTTTTCATCTGTAGAGTTACTTAAATTATTGCAAGTAAAATAACATTTAAACTAGTTGTTGAGGTTATATAATGTAAGTATTATTATGAAATAAGTTGTTGTAGTTAAATGTGTGTAATTGTTGAAAATTTGAGTGATTTAAACTGCAGTTAAGGATGACAATGATTATGATTGTCTCAGAATGCATGCAGCGCTCATTCAAAAGCAGCAGAGGTAAACTTTAAAATAATTTTTAAACATTTTCTAGATAATCTGGAAGATGAATAATCATTGAAATTGCAAAACTTTTTAGGTTTTTTTTTGCTATAATAATATTCGTACCAAATTGTAAGAATTGGATGTGCCTCTTGGTATTAATATTGCGCGTCATCCAGTCCTACTACAGCCATTTTTTGAATTCAGCACGAAATACCGGCCTCACGTTGTGAGTCATTCGGCACAAGTACCAGTTTTTATGCCAGTGGAAAACCAACACCTTGAAGTACCGTACTTTTGGTACCTTCTTGAAGTACCACATGTACGGTATGTGGTACGGTGGAAAGGCGCCCTTTAGTTGAGCGGTGAATTGGACAGCCTTACAGCGTTGTACATTTCATACATGCTGTACGACCTCTGCTATGCTCTAAGCTTCTTCTGTGTACCGGCTTCTTCTGTTACTTCTGGGTCAAAGCCTAGGTGGGTAAACTATGGAGCATGTGCAGAGTGCCTAGGCCAGGCTGAGTCTGAATGCACCTATACATGCTGCGATAAATCTTCCAGTCGCATTATCTGGGTGTCTTAGTCCGACTGAGAAATTCAATTTAGTGCGATTTTCAGTTGGGCTAACATGTTTACATGTATTTTAAAAGTCAGGTTTTACTTGGACTAACACAATAATTCGATTTTCTTAGTGTGCATGTTAACATAGCGATTGATTTATTCGCTATTACTTAATTTGTTGCCATTTGTGTGGTTCCCACAGGGTTGACCAACTTTTTTTTCCCACTGCCCTTCTGTTATTCAAAGAAGCCTGTGATATGCTACCTAAAAATCCCCCCTCCACACACATTATTTCCCATATTTTTGAGTGGGGTGAACTCACATGCTTCCATGTTTCATAAACATGCATATGCACATACGCATTCTGTCAGCATGCCAGTATGGCATTTGGAACGTGGCACTGTTCCCGATATTTGTACCTTTAACCATACCTACTTGTATACCTAAGACAAGAGAGCACTGTGCCCTGAAACTCCTGCAGCTGGTTGCTAGGTAACAGGACGTAAAGGAGCTTGCCCTAAATGAGAAAAGAAGTTACAGGTAACTGCACAAAATACTGAGGGGATTCAAAGCTAGCATTTGGACATACCCTGATACTTTCACTCTGACATTTTACTAATTGTGAGTTTACTTCTGTCTTTGCATTACAACGGACACACTCCTTGACTTGTGTTGTTTAGCTCTTTAAGTCTTATGTATTTTTTTTTATAAAACTATTTTCCTACATTCCCTCAGAAAATTATTTGTTTTATTATAACTAAATTTTGAAGTATCAAATTCATTCTATTATCCCTGCAGGTAGGTTATGGTGCAATAGAAATGACAATGATTATTATAAAACTTATTTAATACCTGGAAATTTCTGAAATGCTTATTTTTGCAAGTGTAAATGTGTAATAGAATCACATATAGACACATCAAATTGTATTGGAACCGATCGATTGATAATGGCAGTGAAATCCAGGGTACCGGTCTGTTATTAGCTTCTTGCTGTTCTTGCCTAAGCCAGACTCCTGTAGAAGTCGTGATGTTCAAATACCGTACTTTCTGCAGAGCAAATAGAAGTTCAACACTTCCCACCTCTGTTTTCAGGAATTTCACAGTATGTTGACAAATATGCAGTCCTCCCTCTCCCCACAAAGAATGTTAGCTCATTCTGTAATCATAGTCTGGACAAGAGGAAACGATGTAGTTTTACCTTCTGAAAATTAAATTACTAATACTAAATTACTAATTAGGTACCAATTATTCCTTGTAGAAAACTATTGTGGCAAACAGTTTGCCATGTCAAGAGTGACAGCTTTCAGAGCCCGAGTCAGTAATTACCATGTTTATTTTTACAATTTCTAACTCTGCAAGCATAAAGGTCATTCTTTCCACAAACACACTTTGTGACTAGAATAGTTGGGCAACTTGCAAGCAACCTATTTTGAGGACAAAGTCCTGACTGTTGGCCAGCATGAATGAAGACTCACCTTAGACTCTTTCAGTAAATTATTGTTAGAAATAAAATGTTATTCTTTGTCCTGCATTTCATTAAGGTTTTTGTAGCAGCAAGAATAAAGGTTTTTTGTGAGATTTTAGTTAGGCAGAGTTGGTATGTGCAGTTCACCTCAGGCCTGTGCACCTTTGAGTCATTTGTGGTATTGGGGAAGGGTGGAGGTTTAAAATAATTATGAAAAAAAGTCTGACCACTGTCTTGGCAGAAATTCCTAGTAGATGAGCTCCATGCTGTAAACAGGCTGCTGAAACTGTGATTCTGTGTGTGTGGCAGCCAGGTGCTATTCATGCCCAGCCGTAAAGTTTACTAGTGAATATACTGTATGCTTTACTAGTGACTCGGTGAATTTCATTATTCTGTTGCTTATCGTAATCATTTTCTTTAATTTGATTAAAAGTTATGTTAGCAAGCATTTTCAAAAGTATTAATTGAAAGTGAGTGCACTGGACAGAGCTAAGCTGAGCTCTATATTTAAAGAAGTGTACACATGCCGTTCAACAAAAGAAATAAGCAAGAGTACATGCCCTTTTGGGTTAAGCGGAAAACAGATTCTGATTTTGGTTATCTAATTGTCTTTCCACTGAAATTTTGAGCACTAAGGGTAGTATGTACATGACGGTCTCCAGCAGAATGGAGTCTCTTATTAATGCCCTAAGTTTGCCGTTTCTACATGGGTTTAATTCTCCAGATGCCTATTTACCACAGAGCTGTAAACGAGAAATGATGTAGCTCTTTAGCCGGTAGGTAATTGTTATTTTTCTGTGTACACACTCATCTAATTAGACGAGGAATTGTTTTGCTTTGCGCTCCTTACAGTAATGCTCAGCCCGCTTTCTGCTCTTTTTTTGGCAGCCCATTGCACTCTGTTGTTTAGATAGGGACCATTTATGCAAGACTCTGTTTCCCCTTCAAGTGAAAAAAGAAAAAACAAAAAAAAGACGTTAAGCTTGTTGTCACACCGTTCTTTGTTCAAAACTTAACGAAGGCAAATGGGTAAAGTGCAGCCTTGCAGCCGCTTACAGGGGGCAGAGAGCGATTAAGCTTCTGCCGAAAGGCAAGCAGGCTTTCTCCGGGTTGGGTCAGGAAATTCCAGGGGCGCGTGAGAGCCCTCCCAGCGGACGGGAGCTCTGTAGCGTGCTGATGTGTCAGGATGTGCGGAGAGAGTCGTTCTCAGGGGCGCTACTGTAAACTCCTGATTCCTCCTTCAGGCTCCAGTTAACCTCATAAGAACCAGGGCCTCTCTGCTGTGCTTCTTAAAGGTTCAGGCCATTTTATCACTTTGTTAGGTCGACAAACTAACTCTAAGAATCAGGTAAGATGCCATGACGTTGTAATAGTATAGTTTTTAATTTTAGAATATTTATCATTTAAAGATGTTTGCATGGATGTTAGCTACTGTGAGTGGCTAAATCTTAATTCTTACCCCCTCCCCAAAAAAGATTTTTCTTTCTCCCTTCTTAAATATTGTTTACTATTTTGAAATACAACTGGTGCATTTGTTTGGTTCATACACAAAATCACACAGCAGGATGAATATGTAATATCTGAGATGTAATGTCCATAGTTATTTATGTTGTTGTAGTATCATGACATGAAAAACCTGACTATATAACCATATAACCAGGCAAAATGACACCCCCCCTTTTTTTTTTCTTGTAATCAGATTGGTTTCTGGTGCCGCGGGGGGGGGGGGGGGGGGGGGGGGGGGTGGATATATCATTCTGAAATACCCCTTGAATCCTGGTACTTAGTTGGCTAGTTAATTCACTTATCTGATATACTGTTTGTTACATAGCACTGTAACTTCTTTGCATTTGATTACCGCAATGACTAAATAAAACAAAGGGGAGATTATAGACAACTGTTGAATCGAATCTGGTGTCTATTTACCTATTAATCAGTGTATTTTTACTGTGATATGTTATGGCTGTTGCTAGAAGCCTTAGGCTTTCAGCAGTAGAGGGATGCAGAGTCGGGGCAAGTTATTTAAGAGTGTTAAAAGGCCATTCAAAAACTGTCCCCGGTCTGTCCTACACATAAATAAAAATCTGATTCAAAATGACCTTTTGTTCTGATATTAAGCACCAGCTAAGTAGGTGGTATGGCTGAAAATGATCATCTGTTTGTTATTCTGAAGATCTGGTTGGTTGCTTCTCTAATTGTAAGTGCAGCAGGCCACAGCGGTAATATGTTTGTATGCAGTGTTTAATTTGTCACAGAACACCAAGTCCAAGTCAAAAGCTGACCAAACCACCCATGAGAGTGATTATGGAGATCAGTGGTGATTCTTCTGCTGAGCCATTAGAGAGACATTGTTGTTAAGCAAGAGGTCTTTTGTTTTTCAAACTTTTGCAGTTTTCTTGATTGGCATGGTTAATTACAAATACTACAGTATTATCACCACTCTTAACATTTCGTAGACTGCATGAACTGTCAAAATTAAATTTCAGTAATGTATGGTTATATTATGTGGCCACCCAAATATTTTCTGTGGTTAGCGTTTACAGCTAATTAAAAGCAGCAGCTCCTTTTACTCTATGAACCTACATGGCGATATTATGCCTTGTAGCGGCCAATAATGTAATAACTGCTAATAACGTAATTTTAATTTCATTTTCCCATATACTTTCACTATCTGTACTTGTAGTTAGTCAAATAATTAGTCATATCATCCATATACAGGTATATGGTAGCACAAAATAACGCTCCCCCTAGACCACAGTGACATGCAGACGGCGAGTGACAAGAGGAGGGCTTCACTGTACAAAACAGAGGGCTGGACACAAGGGCTTGTCTACAAAGTGCATTGAAAGTTGCATGTAAAATAGTAAATAATGCAACAGCCATGACAGTGGAATAAATAGTGTCAGTTAACTGACAATAAATAGACTAATAATAAGGTAAAGTGACCAGTGCCAGTGGGGGGAGGTGCAGGTATTCTTAGGAAGGGGGAGGTGGCAAGGAGGGCAGCCGGCTGTTTGTCAGCTAAACAAAATCTCTCTTCATAGCAGTGACACAAATAGGCACTTATTTCCCTAATGTCCAGTGTGCGCTCTCAGGCTCTGAGCACAGTTTTATTGTGTGCTATGGTGTTGCAGTTAGACACAGAAACCTTTGATTTTACGTCACTGTTGCTGAACACAGAGCATGTTTTCCTGATTACAACAGTTTGATTGTTCTGGTCACACAGATGTTAGAATCAGAAAATGCAGCCTTGGTGAATGCTGACTGAAATATAATTCACTCGCTCTGTTTTATTTTATTTTTTCCAGGTAGATTGTGATTTTGCACGCTTCATTGCAAAGTGAAAAGATTGCAGGGCCGTTATATAAGTATCTTTGTTTTGATAATCTGAATCTGGGAGAACATGATTTTTTGATTTTCTGTTATATTTAGACTTGTTTATAAATGCATTAAATGCATGTTTATTGTTCTTGTATGGTTTTTTCTTTTTCCTGAGACTTCAAAGCAGGATGGTTACCAGTAAGAGCAGAGAAAGGTCCAGTGTAGAGTACAGGAGGAACTGATGGAAGGAGGAATGTGATTGGATGGCTTACTCAGCCAATGATAGCCCACGGTATGCTTAGCTAAGTTTACGCCAATAGTGGATTTTTTTCCCCTTATGGGTAGAGGAGGCCGCAGCAGGGCTCAGTGGAGCACAGTGCAGCAATAGCAGTGGGCTTGTATTCTCACCACAAGAATGCAGGTCTCCGTACAGGCAGCATGAGTGAAGCGGAGGACTGCTGTTAAAGCTGGGGGTGAGTAGGGCCTGAGGAATCACAGGGATTTTAGTTACCTAAACTGCTTTCTTTTTACTTCTACTCCGCTGAATAAAGGCTCTGGCTGAACAGTAATGTGCCGTGTGAGACGAACTGAAGTAGATCTCTATCCATTTTTAGCAACTGGTTTCAGTAAGAAGCTCCAGACTTAACATGAATCGGTGCTTTATGCTGCTCCTTAAATGTATGTTTTGTTTCGCTTCAGAGAGCCGCCTGACGTGCAGGGAGTGAACGTAACATAGTTGTGAAATTCTGCCTTAGGTGACAAATGTAGTATGTGGCAAAACTTCACACTTTTAGAAGCTGCGCTCCAAGCTAACTGCAACGTTTTGTTTTACGGTTTGTCCTTTATTTGTACTGTGTCTGTTATATATTTGCTTTCTCATCTAACCCTTTTCTTTCCATCTCCCCAAAATTAACCTTTCTACTATGGAGTTACAGAGAATATTGTGCAATGTTTGACTTGAGCCAAATCAGCACCGGTAACGAGATGTTTCTGTAATGTACTCTACACGTTCTGTTATAGTTTCTGGGTTAGTGATTGAATATACATAATATTGTAGCCCTTTGAAAACTGCCTTTCCCCTGTTTAATCCATGACAAATTATCATATTTCTGAAATCTTCTACATATACTTCTATGTACTTCTTTTTTATTCTGTCTCATTCACTAGATGTGAAATTTTAGGGATCGAATATTGGTTCTAATGTTAATTCTTTAAGCATTTGTAATTTATGTATTACTGTTAAATAATTTGTAAATTCATAGCAAAAGTATGTGTGTGATGAAATGATGTTTCTTTTTTGTGCTGGCAAAAAGACAATCTCTTATGTGCCCATGATTTCCTGATTTAATCTGGTTTCACATATTTTATTACATATTTTTTAGAACCTCATTTTATACAAAATTAATAATATAAACCTTTTTTTCTCTCCTTTTACAGAAAAAGGAGAAGGTGTTGCACGTGTTGAAGATGAGCTGGTGGTACCCTACTACTTGGAAACGCCTTATGGTTATCAGCTAGATTTAGACTTCCTCAAGTATGTAGATGACATTGAGAGAGGTAACACCATCAAAAAGCTAAACATCCAGAGAAAACCCAAAGTGGCCCGGCCTAGAGCAGCTCCACGGAGCAGCAGCGGGCAGTCTGAATGGACCTCAACTGAATCGCTGTCGTCCTCAAGCAGCGATGAAAGCAAGCAATCTCCATTCTTCACAGCCCAAAAACAGACCCCTGGTTCTCATGCCAGAACCATAGGCACTTCTGAGGTCCCTTCAGCCTTCCTGGCCAGCCACGAAGGCAAGCTACTGCCTCCACCCTCCCCGGCTTCACCCAGGTACAATCCACGTGTTGAGAAAACATTGATGGAGACACGGTGGCGGCTAGAGCAGGAGCGGCTGCTTCATGAGCCGGTTTTCAAGGAACCTCCCCGCAGGAGGCTGGCCAGCTTCGGGGGGTTGGGTTCCACCAGCTCCCTGTCTTCATTCCCGGGGTCAAGTGGTCAGAATCAAGTCATACACAATGGATACCAACCTAATGGGGACTACAGCCTTAACTTCAACACCTTGATGGGTAGCTCTATGCGCCATAGCCCTTTGAGCTCAGGGATGACCACCCCTGTCACTAGTGTCAGCCCTATGCACCTGCAGCACATCCGGGAACAGATGGTCGTGGCACTTAAGAAGCTAAAGGAACTGGAGGAACAAGTCAAAACGATTCCTATCCTGCAGGTCAAGATCTCAGTCTTGCAAGAAGAAAAAAGGCAACTCTCCTTACAAATAAAGAACCAAAAACCTTCCAGTCAGTTTCCAGGAAGCACTGGGTTCCGAAAGCGGTCTTACAGTGTTGGGAGTGCAGACCATTTCAATGAGCTCTCCCAGGTTGGAAAGGGGACAGAACTGCACATAGATTCTGAAGATGAGCTGGACAACACTAAACAGGGCTGCCAAAGACTGGAGGAATTCAGGCAGCTGACAGCAGACATGCTGGAGCTGGGAAAAAATATTCACGACACCCTCCCAGACGAACAACCCAGACTCACGCAAACCCCAGTGGAGAAGACGCAGACTCGAGAGTACAGGTCTGTTGCTTCAGGTCCCAATGAGAATATGAATGATGTTGTTGTTTATCACAGGTCGCTGCGGCACCACCGAGATGCTGGTGTGGCTACAGAGGTGGAAACGAGGACTGTGGCAGTTAGTGTGACTGAAGCTATGCTTGGCATGACCACCGAGGCTGAGGTGGAAATTGAGATGCAGCATCAGACTATTGAGGCCCTCAAGGACAAGATTTACAGGCTAGAGGTCCAGCTGAAGGAAACCACACATGAGATGGAGATGGGAAAGTTGAAACTGGAGCTTCGGGCAGCAGGGTCAAGGAAGAAGGTTGATAAGGGTTCAATGGCTAAACCATCTGTTTACAGCACTGCAGTGGAAGCTAAAGTGACCATGCAAAATCAAGGTGTGGGAAATCATGTGGAATACAATGATGCTTGCACTGGAAGTGTCTTTCAGTCACGTTCTGTGGCTGTTTCATGCAGGATTGATGTGCAGCATGTTGCTGTAGGTCCTGATACACCTATGGATTCATGGCTTATGAAGGAAGGGGTGCAAGCTTATGATAAGTGTGTCGGCAGACACGTTGCAATATGTAACCAAAATGTAGGAATGGAAGGTGGCGTTCGTGAAATTGGAGTCAATATCGAAGACGTCAAAGACAATCTAAATATTTGCAAAATAGGACGATCAAAGAATTATACATCAGTTGGTTGTGGGGACTGTTCTGTGGATGTGAGGGTTTGTCCTATGAAAGATCTGGTTTCTGTTGGCACAAACACTGACCGAGTGCACCATGTTGACTCTGAACTCATGGTGGTACCTGAGACTATTTCTCGTAAGACGTATACAGAGGTTGAAACTGTAACTAAATGTACAAACACAGAAAGGACTGTTTTCAAAGACTCCAGCACTAATACTAGTGTCAATACTCAAGACAAATGCATCAGCACAACTCCAGTTGAGACCAGGAGTGTGTCAGTGGGGGAAGGCCTTGTGAAAGATGAAAAGTTGCTAAAAACTCGCTCTGTTGCTGTGGGAACTACAGGGGATGCATCTCTGGATAAGCCATCAGCAGTTAAGACCAAACACACTGGGGTTGGCACAGCCAATATAAACGACAACTTTCTGGTAGGGTTGAGAACAAGGAACATTGCTTGTGGCCCCTCTTGGCTGCCTAACTCTACCAAAACCAGGAGCATCGGAGTAGGAGATGAGACCGTGGCAGAACCTGTGCAGTCTCAGGCATGTCAGAGCCAAATGGCTGCTGGGCTGGACCACTACATCGAAAGGGTGCAGAAGCTGCTGCAGGAGCAACAGATGCTCCTAGCTGAAAACTACAGTGAGCTGGCAGATGCCTTTGGGCAGCCTCACACCCAGATTGGCTCCATCAACAACCAGCTGGTCAGTACCTTGTCATCCATAAACACTGTGATGAAGTACGCCAGCTCAGAGGACATCTTGAAGCTGTGTTCTGGTGCTGCAGGAACTGTCTCAGGTGGGGAAATGCTTCTGAATGTGCCCTCACATACAAATGCATGGTATTATATAATATAAAATCACTACTAAAACCCATGTTAGGTAATTCATAATCTCATAAAAAAAAAATAATCTTAATCCTGGTCATTGAGTCTAAACTTAATGGCAAACAAACGGAAAAAGATGACCATTCATTAAAGTTTATAAGTACAGTTTCCCATTTGGTGTAGTTTCCTCAAGGTGAAGTATAACTAGCAGTAGTATAAAATATTGAAAGCGGCACATTAACATGTTAATGTAATCGCCATGCCCTGAAATAATGGCTGCTGTTCAAATGTCTTTTTGGCCTGGGTGGGTGTCCAGCCCCTTGCTGGGAGCTGAGGGGAGCTTCTAATGTTGTGTCTTTGGTCTCTGTCCTGATTGTATTTGACAGGTCAAAACTAGTCATTTCTGATCCTGAAAAATTCTTAGACCCTTGGAGAGGTCCCAACAATTACCTTATTTATTTTTGGGGTCAACAAATTGTGTTAAATGAGTAAATAACTGTGTGCTGCATAATTTTGGCTAGAATTTTAACTCTGATCTTGAATTCTCTGTTTTACAGCTATGAAGTTAAACAATAATCTGTGAGAAAATCAAAAATAAAAAGTGTGTGTGTATGTATGTATGTATTTATTAAATTGTGGGGACCAAATGTCCCCACAGTGTGATAAAAACCTGTTATTTTGATGTTGTGGGGACGACCTTTTTGGCTCCCACAAGGGGAAACTCATTTTAATACAAATCTGTGACTGCAATCAAAAAACTAAAAATACCAAAAGTCTTGCATTTTGTTTGGTTACTTATGGTTGAAGTTATGGATGGGTAGGGGTTAAGGTCATTGTTCGGATTAAGATTTTGAACATAGAAATGAATGGATAATTTCCATAAACATTACAGACCTACATGCAGTGTTGGACATTTCAGGTCGGGTACCAAGGTTTTGTTTCTACCAGCTGGCCATAAAGAACCACAGTTACAGAGAATTTAACTGGCTGGTAGAAGCAAAATCTTGGTCTGGATTTGTAGCTTCTGAGCTGTGTGTGTGTGTGTGTGTGTGTGTGTGTGTGTGATTAATATCTACATACTGTTGATTTTAATAGGGAGAATGTACAGAGTGGGGTGTAATGTCATATTTGAATAATGTGTTTTGTTTTTTTTTTATGAAAAGAGAAGTGTGCTGAATATGGAAGGATCAGGTTAATGTCAGGCTATACCCCTTGTTTGAACAGAGTATGTTCCAATTTTATGCAACATTTTTCCAGTATGGTTTGATATAATTAAATCATTCATGAAAGAAAAAAAAATCAGTGATGGTTGATTGATATAAGTGGAGTGGGTCATGTCTGTCTAGCTTGTGTAACCATTCAATTTTAAAACTTGTGTAACCATCCATTTAAAAATGAATTTGAGGAAGCACTTCTTTACACAATGTGTAGCTGGAGTATGGAATAGTCTTCCTGCTAGTGTAGCACAAGCTAAAACCCTGGGTTCCTTTAAATCAGAGCTAGATAAGATTTTAATAACTCTGAGCTATTAGTTAAGTTCTTCCCAAACGAGCTTGATGGGCCGAATGGCCTCCTCTCATTTGTAAATTTATGTTCTTATTAAATGTATCACATTTAATATGAGATGCAGTACTTAAACTTGAAAACTGAAAATTATTTTATTATGCATAGTTTCTCACATGAGGTTCTGCATGTGCAGAGTTGATAAAGTAATATTGTAAAATTGTTTCCTAATATAAGGAGCAGTTTCTGAACATAAAACAAATGGTTTAACTTCTTAAGTGAGAGTTTAAAGGATCACGCTAGTGTAATTAGTAGCTCAGAAACAGAACATACCTTTATTGTAATAAACCTTCTTTGTATGCACATTTTTTGATGTATTACCTTTTGGCTGCTAAAATGTAACATTCTGAGTCATTTTGGTTTAATTTTATGTATGTTCTGTTGTTATAAGCAGTGCATTGCAGTATTAAATTATGGCAAAATTTAGTTATGATAAGTAAGGGCACTATTAACAAAAATAATATATTCCAAAATAATCACAATTGTTTTTAACTTGTATTTTGTGTTTGTCACAGAGCAAACCACACTTCACTTTTCCCAGACTTGCTACACACAATAGATTGTTTGCTTTAAATTGTTTTCCTGCGACTGTTGTCTGAATCTGTCTGCAGTGTCTTTTAATTTTGAATTTTCATGTCTGTCTGTCTTTCTCACTTTGTCTGGATCAGATATGGGTCAGCTGGCCGAGAGGAAGACAGAGGTGACCCATGTAGAAGCAATACTGTCCCAGTCATCTTCAGTTTGTCCTAGACTTTCCACACACCAGCAGAGTTCGTCCACCCAGAAGAGCCTGATGGACCAGCAGATGTCCTCAGCCCTGCATGGTACGCGCCGGCCGGCTCAGCTGCCCTTATCTGTACTTATGCTGTATGTGCGTATGTCAGCACATGGGTCCAATGTGAAATGAGTGACCTTCGTTCAGGTTTCAGACCTAGGTTTTCAGTTAAATCAGCAGAAATAGATCACCTACAGAGGGTGGAGCTAGCAGTTTTGCGCATTTGTACTATTGACTTGCATTGCAGAGACGAAGAGAATGTTTTTCAGCATAGTATTGGCAAAGGAAACCCTGTATTTAAAATATTTTAGAGAGTCCTCGGTTTTGGAAGCGTCTTATCCCACAGAGAATTTTTGGTCTGTGGTTGATGTGGTCTAAAATAGTTTCCAAAGACAGGAGAGTGTTCAGTTGAAGGGCCGTGGTCTACATCTTTGTCAGTTGAAGGGCCGTGGTCTACATCTTTCAAAGAATAACCTTTTGTTTCAGTTCAAACGAAACCTGAGACCCTTAAGGACCTTTTCGATAAACAAAAACAATAGTTAATACCAGCAATTCTAAACATTTTCTTGCAGCTTATTGAATTTGTTTCCTTAGCAGTTCTTCAGAGAACTGAATTCTGTAATGTATACCATCATATTATAACACATTGCTAGCTTTACTGCAGTTACAATACATTATATAATATTAAACTATGGTTTTGAGGGAATAGAAGAAGTAAACATAAAATTGCCATGCATTTATAATACATTTATCTTTTTCCCCAAAAATAGATTTTTTTTGCTTACCAACCTGTTCTGCTGCCTTTTTGTTATCTGTATTATATGTTCTTTATCAATCTGTTTTTGTGTGTGTGTGTGTGTGTGTGTGTGCACACATTGTGCAGGTTTGGGTATTAGTCTGTGTGTATTTCATTTGTATATATAAGCTATCTTACTCTAATTCTTGGTTGCTATTTTAAGAACTGGCCAGGGACAACAGATGAAAATTAGCCTATAGTGCTAAATCCGGCTCATTTACAGTTGTTATTTTTTGTTGATCAATGATCACTGTTCCTGTTAAGTGGCCCAGAGACACTGCATTGGATTTAATTGGCCTTTGGGCACATTTGGTGCTGAAAGCTCTGTAGATCCTAGACTGAACTTCTACTGTAATATTCCAGGACAGCCTGGCAGCCAGAACACTCTCAAGTCAATCATGAAAAAGAAAGACAGCGGTCAGGGAGCCAACGGCACAAAAAAGAACCTGCAGTTTGTAGGTGTCAATGGAGGGTGAGTATTGAAGTTTTGATATCATAGTAGTGATATAGTCAAGATCACCTAAACCGAGACCAGAGTGTATTGAGACTGAGACAAGACCAAGACCAAGGCAGGGTGAGACCGAGACAAGATCAGAAACAGACTAATGCTTGAATCTACATGACATAACACACTATAAAATGTGGAGCATAGGCACCATCTTGGGGCTAGGCAGTATGGCCTAAAATTTGTGTCACAGTATAGTTTGAACCATGGACATGTTTTTTGTTTAAATCTCAATATAAATACTTCTGGATAGGTAAAGCAGAGGTATTACTACTGCATGACGCTAGGGCGTAGGTTTGTCTCAGTGTAAGAACCCACGCAATGCATGCACATCCAAATGATAAACTCTGGGTACTGGACAAAGGAAATAGTCAGTGAAAAGGATGGATTCTGTACATCAGATGATGCTCCCAATTCTTTTTAGAATTTTGCTACCTTATGTGATGTTTCAGGCCCAAGCCCTTCATCAGACATTCAGACTTGTGGTGTCCTTTTTCACCGTAGGTTTGGTCTTATTATTGCTCATCACGTTCCTACAATAGCACCCACACAAAACCTTATATTGTTTGTTATATTTATATTAAACATATTTATTCAACATTCACTTAAATCACTTAAAACAGTACTACAAGCAAAATTTTGCGCAGGCTTCAAGTTTTTTGGGTAATCCTTGGCATCCGCTAGGAATCATAATTGAGTGCAGAATGTATGAAAGTGCTAACGGAAAGACTTTTTGTTAATGGAGAATCAAGGTGAAACAATTTTATACAGTATTAATGTGTTAAACTTGCTATAGCAATCAAAACATAAATATTGAGGCATTTTGATGAGTGATCTTGACTGGTCTTGAAATAAAACCTTGAGTCCTCTATGTCCGACACAGAGACAAGACCGAGTCAAAATAAAGTCAATTCCTCGATGAAACCAAGACCGGTGCTTGTTTACTTCAGACTGTAACATTTTAATATGCAACAATACAGTGCATACTCTTTTTAGGCAAATTAGCAAATGCAGATGATTTGTGGTTCTGTCAGTCATGGTTCAGAAGAGTTCAGGAGTAGGGCTGCACGATATCACATCATGATTATATGGCCCATGCGAATAGTTACTAGGACTTTAGATGATGAGTGTAAACACTTCTCCGGATGCCAGCTTTTCAGTACTATACGGACGTTTACTTACTCCCACAATCTGATAAGCAGATTAGTAGTGCACCTAAAAAATTTATGAGAGGTGAACCAAAGTTAGTAATCTGTATAAATTCAGCGTATCCTTATGTTTTAGTAAACGTGTCAAATTTTAAACTGCAAGAAGTACCACCACACCATTGATGTCTTTTTACCTTGTTTATCTGCAAGATCTCCTCTTTCAAAAGGTGTTGTGGCTGCTGAGCTGTTCCTTTCTTCACTGCCACTTCAGTGCTTATCGCTTCCATGATTTACCAAAACCGTAGTATGTGGACTGCTCCCCTAACCCAATTTACTAAACACAAGGATTCATCAAATTTATACAGATTATTAAAGCTGTCTAAAGCCCTGGTGATTATTGCGTGCCATATAATCACGATTATTGTGATGCGATATTGTCCAGCCTCATTCTGAAGTGTCCCGCTTACAGGTATGAGACAACGTCGAGCGATGACTCCAGCTCGGAGGACAGCAGCTCGGAGGAATCTGGGAGCGAGCAACAGGTGTTCGGTGGGAAGGAGGGGAGTGAGGATGGGAGTAGAGCAGAGGAATTCTGTAACAAGGGAGCCGTGGAAGGGCGAGCAGAGAGGAATCCAGAAAAGGCGGAATTTAGGGAGAGGTATGTGAATCTTAAGTTCTCACCTTAATTCATGTTGACAGAAGTACAGTTACAGCCTCTATGACATTAGTTCTTTTTCCTGCCCTACTGCGAACTAATGAAAGAAAATCTGTATATTCTGTCAGGTACGAGTTAAGTGAGAAAATGGTGACAGCATGCCATCTAATGAAGAACCATCTGAATGACTCCAAGGCTCTAGTCGGCAAAGACATGGTGAGAATTCTCAGACCGGGCGTTAGAAATAGAATGATGCCGTTTTAAAGTGCAGTGGTGCCTGCGGTTCACGAACACAATTCGTTCCAGGAAAGTGGTCGTGAACCAATTTGTACGCAAACCAAGGCAATTTTTCCCATAAGAAAGCATTGAAAGCCTATGAAATAATAATTTTTAATTAATTTTCTGGTTTTTATAGTAAAAACTCTAAAGACAAACACAATATAGTATGGCAATGGGTGGACCGATGCATCGTGGGAGCAGAGAGAGAGACATGGAGACTTGCTTGCCGGGGAAATCACGCTCTTTATTAGCAGTCCTTAACCCTTGTATTGTTGTTGTTCATTTTAATGGTTGCATTTTTCTATTGTTACGGGTGTGTTTGCCCGTGTCTTGTGTGTACCCAGTCCACCACCGTGTGCATCTCACATATCTTACAACCTTGTGTTTCCCGTCTGTGTATTTGGGTTCGGTGCTCGTTGGGTGCCTGTTGTGGTCCTGCTACTTACAATTGCACGCAGGGCATGCTGGGACATGTGCCCCGCCGGTGCTACACTAGTATATAAAAAGGAATCTGGCCGAGGAATCTGTTCGTCAGTCAAATTTTGCACACGAACCAATGCATTTTTTTCATGAAATTTTTGGTCATGAACCAAATTGTTCGTAGACCACTGTGTTCATGAACCACAGGCATCACTGTATCTATTTTCTGCCCTTTTTTTGAAATTACACTGTAGGATATTTTTATTTGTCTCGTGAAACAAACAAAAAAAAATGTCTGATTTGGATAAATCATTGTATTACGCGCTAGCTCAGTATTTTTCTATAATTATCCGGTTCATTTTTATGAGGTTCAAAATATGAAGTATACATTGTTGAGTAATTGCTGCCCTAAAACTGCAGCACTTTCTGAGAATGTTTGTATTTTCTGTGATTTAATGTTTTGTTTCTTGCTTGATTTTACACTCATTTTAAGTGATTAAGAGGCAGTATCTTGGTCACTGTGGTCCAGAATGACAAGAACCATTTTGCTTTTATATGTTTTGCTATAAATTTAACTGACCCACAAAAATAGTGGGTCTTCGTGCCAGATTTTCTAGACATGCCCAACAATGTACTGGCAGGAGGCCCGACTACTGGAACCAGCTTTCTGAAGATGAACCAGCTTTCTGAAGATGTTTATTTTTCTTTTTTTTAAATCGCCTCTTGTTTTGCTTGTTTCATTCATTCATTCATTTATTTTTATGTGAACAGGGAACTGGGGCAGGGCCATATCTTTTTCAATTACTACATAATGATTGCTGTTTTATCAGATAAAATAAGTGCCATTTGTTCTGATGGAGGCGTTTGCTGAAATCCAGTGCCGGATCTCTCCCACAGAGGGCGTGCCTGAGCACACTGCAGCACGAGTGGTTCAGAGTGTCCAGTCAGAAGTCTGCAGTTCCAGCCATGGTGGAAGACTACCTGTCAGCATTCAGAGCCGTGTCCCCTGCAGTGCTGAAGCACATTGTCAACATGGCTGACGGCAATGGCAACACTGCTCTCCACTACAGTGTGTCCCACTCTAATTTTGATATTGTCAAGAGGCTACTGGATGCAGGTGCGGTCTGCCTTGTCCTTCTTAAGATGCAGTCGCAGTTCACTGTCTTGACAGTCATTTACAATGCTATGATATATGAAATTATAATGTCAAGCTTTAGCATTACTCAACATTATGCGAGCAGCTAACATTGCTCCTGTAGCTATGTATGGCAGGCGTTTGCTGACACTGCAGAAGTTATGGGTTTGAATCCCAGGGGGCAGGCATAAATTGTAACCCTTCCCCCAACTCTAAGTCACTTTCGATAGAAGTACCATGTGAAAGTACCATTGAACAGTTCAGCTTTTGTATTTTCTTTCTAAATTATTCGTGGCGCTTTCCACTCTTCTTCAAATATGAGATGGTAGATTAAGCTAATTAATCTGCACACACTCAACCTTTGCAGTTGCATAGAAATCTGATAATCTGCTCTCGAATGCGACGGTTCCATGTCGACCATCTTCAAATTCCAGCCCGGGAAAAGTGATGTGCAATGAATACGACTTAGAATGTGATGTGAGGGCAGGGAGGTGCCCATTGTTTTGTGCTTTTGTTTGCCGAGCCTCTCCGGCCCTCCGTGCTCATAGCTTAGCCCTTGGTCCATTGTGCCGGAAGGGGTTGGCCTTTGTGTGCATTGTTCATCACTACATATCCAGAGTCTCTGGCTTCCCCCTGCTTTTGAAGCTGGATTTCCTCCTCTTCAGCAGGAACTTGCTTGAATAAGCTTGCATGTATAGTGCCCTCCTCCCTCACCAGTGTCTGCTCTCGAGTCCTCTCTACCCCGCCAGGCTGGCCTTGGAGGACTGCTCACGTCCCTGACTTTATTGTTGCAGATATTTGCAATGTTGATCAGCAGAACAAGGCTGGCTACACGCCCATCATGCTTGCTGCTCTTGCAGCAGTGGAAGCTGAGAAGGATATGAGGGTTGTGGAGGAGCTGTTCAGCAAGGGGGATGTCAACGCTAAAGCCAGTCAGGTTAGCGTGAGATCTGATTGTTATTTTCTGAAGAACTTTCCCTAAGTTTTTCTCTAGATGAGGAAACATTTTCGCTTTTGTGACTCTTTACTGTAGACCTAGGCAAAAGATCGTTCATCTTATCTTTATGTAGGCACATGAAAAGTGCTTTATAAATTAAATGTATACTACTAATAATAATAATTAATAATAATAATTTGAATTGGCCAGTGTAATCATTCAAATACATTTTTTAAAAACTTCAGCTTTCTTGAGAGGGGCTGATTTTTAAATGACTAAATTGTGAAAAATGCAGTTCTATTGATTTTCAAAAAAAAAAGGAAAATCTAAGATGCTTTTTTTTGCAGTTTTCATGGGCTATGAAAATAACCAAAAATTAAATGTAATTTAAAAATGCCCCCTGCTGACATGGTGAAACTCAGGTTTGGCCTCTTCTGTACCTTTCATATGCTATTAGTAGTTTGCATAATAGATACTGATGGGATACATGCTAATCTCCGTTTTGCCTTGATGCCAATTATTTTACATTCATCAATTTCCCAGAATACACTGGATTCATAAGCATAAATTGTAGATAATGGAATTTGGTTTTGAGCACATTTTATTTATTCTCAATACAAGTACCTGAGTGAATGCTGCATGAGGGTGGCTTGACTTATGGCTGACCCCTATGCCCTCGGTCCCCAGGCTGGCCAGACGGGGCTCATGCTAGCCGTCAGTCACGGGAGGATGGACATGGTGAAAGCCCTGCTGGTGTGCGGGGCCAACGTCAACATTCAGGACGACGAGGGCTCCACGGCGCTCATGTGTGCCAGTGAGCACGGCCACGCCGAGATCGTCAAGCTCCTGCTGGCCCAGCCCGGCTGTGACGCCACACTCAGCGACAACGTGAGTTTCCTAGAGGCTGACATAACGACTTCCACCTCTGCCGATTCATACTCAGAGGCTTTAGCTGTAAGGTAACTGATTTCTGTGTCCTCGCGTATCCAGGATGGGAGTAATGCCCTTTCGATAGCCCTCGAAGCTGGACACAAAGACATTGCTGTGCTACTGTATGCCCACGTCAACTTCTCCAAAACACAGTCCCCGGTATGTGCGCCGTCTCTTCTTCAGGGTATTTGAGAAGGTCTTGCTCACTGGAGTGGTCATCTAACATCATTGACTGTAACACACCCCAGCACCTGTGTTTAAAACCACATCCTGACCTTGAGCTTCTCCTCAGTGGCCGTCACTTGACTGCTGCACGCTTTGCAGTTCATTAAACACAAATTCGTTTTTTTTTTCCCCCCCCCCACCTCTACATTAACATCTGTCTGATAGAATGGCAATTATGGTGTAAAGAAAACATACCTTACATTTATGGGGCAGATGATTTTCTCTGAAGCGGCTTACGGGTCAGCTCAAACAAACAGAAGCATTAGAGCAACAAAAAAATGCATCTGTATCAATTCATAATACATAAGTGCAGTTGATCGTGTGCGTGTTGCTGCTTACGCAATATATTCAAAATGCATATCATTGTACGATATTGGAGCGTATCAATACTATGTGTAAATTTACAAAATGGCACTATTTAGTGAACCATCCGTCCATCAAGTCTTTCAATATCCTGAGCAGTGTCACGAGGCCAGTGCATTAGCAGATACACTAATAACCTTGTAACAGAGGCAATACTAGCTGCTAAAAATACACACACAGTTTTTTTATCTGTGTAGTTAAAGAGAGCTTGTAACTGGATAATCACACGGGATATCAGTTAATGTCTTTGCGAGTTGCTCAGTGTTTCCAATATCCTCTTTTCCCACAGGGGACTCCTCGCCTTGGGAGAAAGGCGCCCCCCAGTCCCACAGGGAGAAGCACTTTTGATTAGTGCATCTACTACTTCCTTTCCCCATGCTGCTATTGGTGCATGTTGATCTGAACAGATACTGAATGTATTTATAAGTGGATAATTTTGTGCCTGAGCTCACCAGCAATGATAAGCAGTCAGAAAGCATTATATTACGCATGTGCTAAAGACTATTTAAACTGGACAAAGATTCTTATTACTTTAGATACTGAAAGGCAGTATTTGGAAATAGCATATAGCTCATGATGCCTCACTTGTGCCTATATATTCCATTTTATTTGTAGTTTATACTGTCTCTAGAAAATAAGATGATTCAATCCTAAAACATGCCTTATCTTGTCCACAGAAATGCTGTATGTATCGTATTCTGTTTTATTTATATATTTTACAGTATTAGCTTAAACTCTCCATTTACTCATTGTTTTGGAGGTTGCAATATTAGTGTGATGGGAATTTGTCAGCCTTGCACCACAATACACATTTTATCCATGTATATGTGTTTACAACACATCAAATTTACATAAAACATCTAAATTTAAACCTTTATATACAAATTTTAAATGTATTTCAGAAATCGTATTTTTACCCGATTCATATTTTTTATAAATTTTAAGTGTAATGAGTATCAATTTTATTTTAATTGCTTATTCATACAAGTTGTATGTCACTGTATATATGGTATTACGGGGAGATATTAGAAACAACATTTACTGTAGTATTTTATATGTTTAGAATTTTATTATTTAAAGTACTTTGACGCATTGAAATCTTAAGTGCCTTTCATCTGCCGCATAACAGAAAAAAACTGCTTTAAAGTGATTATTTTTAATCAGCATTCAGTCAGTTTTCTCTTAGATGTTATAGACATTTATAATCTTTGCAAAATGTCAAATATCTTACATGTTGTATAGCTCATTGTCTCCCTCTGCTGGCAGTTAATGGAACTTGCTTTAGCAGTTTTAGATTTAAAAAAAAAGACACCGGAAGTGCCCAGCAGATTCAAATGCCACATAACTGAGCATAATGCATAGCATAACACATAACAAAACACATAACATTTAATTCAGTGCCTCACGGTTACAGATTGTCCTAAGACGTTGTGGTCTGTTTAAGCATTTCTGATGTTTTAAAGCTTGTTATTTAAATAAGAAAATAGATGTTGTTCAAGCTACATTATTTAACAGAATATTTCGCTAACCTGACTTTGAGTAGAAAAAACAGACCTAAGTCCGTGTATTTACCATACAGAAAAAATGGTCACAGAACAATAAGAATTTAATTGTTCTATTTATAATGATATAAAAAACATGTTCTTGAGAATATCCTGCCATTCCATAAATAAAACCTTTTTGGAATATTATTTGTTTCGGTGATATTTATTATTAAATAAATTAACAGACTTACCAAGAACAAAATATGATTAACATCTGTGTGTATATCTGCACTTCATATGACTGATGCTGATTCTCATGGAGCGTGTGTTACTGTGACTCTGCACTTCATATGACTGATGCTGATTCTCATGGAGCGTGTGTTACTGTGACTCTGCACTTCATATGACTGATGCTGATTCTCATGGAGCGTGT